GTAGCAGTGATAGACTAGAAGAAAGGCAGCTAGTCAACACCACCCACCGCCAATTCTTGGTATACTCTTTTACCAATGAATGGTAGAATTACTGTCACATTATAACACCCCAATGGCTGAAAGAGTAAGAATGTTCAGTGACGGAGATTCGAACCCGAGACTCGAAGATTGTGAGTCGAGTGCCCTAACCACCAGGCCATGCCAGGTTGTTTCCAAATGGAGTGAGGAATGAGAACAAGGATTTGGGTGTCTGAAGCATGCTTTAATGGAAGCCTCAGTACTGGTATATCCACAACAGAATTGTGAGTTGTTCTTAGATACTGAAACCAGTGGTACTAGAATCAGAGCAATGTTATTGCAGTTGCAGGATGGAGCAATATGTGTAATTGTGTTTATGTGTTTATGCTAGTTATAAACCCACAGCTTCAGAACATAGATACTATATGACAAAGAAAGAGCTGCTTGCAGTTGTAGTCTTTGTAAATCATTATCAACACTACTTGTACATAGAAGGTTGATGAACCTTACAAATCTAGAAGGAATGATTGCACATTGAATAACACCATTGCAGGAGTATAATCTACTCATACAGCATCAATCGGACCTGCAACAGGGAAATGACAACTGATTGTCTTACTGTGTGTGTATGGTGGGCGGGGCTTTCTGTTCATCAAATGTTCTGACCCTCAATCAATGGCCCCGTATGAATAGTTCAGGAAGGTGTGTTGTACTGTTGTGGTTCTCTGCCTGTGTTGCAAACTAGTTCTTCTCAGAGCAAGAGATTCTCAAGACATTACATAACACAAAGATTGGAGGGCACCAATATGTTACCTGCACTTGTGTTTATGTTCAACAGTAGTTCTCCTGGTTACGTTTAAGTCAAGCTAAAGGAACACTAGATTTATAGGTAACATATAGTCTCCATTTGGTTCACCAGCCACTTCTGGCCTTCCAGTCGACATAGCTGGGAATAACAATAATTCAAGTAGTTAGGATAGTCATTTGGTTGAAAAATCATTGTCTGAGTGGAAGCAGTGATTCCTTTCCAAGGTATCTACTTATGTTCAATGTAAATTGTTTGCACTACATTGTGTAATTTTCATTTGATTATCTCAAAGCTAGGGTTGGTAGTACCAGTAGATGTGATCCCTAGTGCATCAACAGTTTGTACAGCTGAATAGACCTTGCAACTCTTGCTTTTTGAGCTGTTGGATGGTATCATATGTTGTAATGTATGTATAGATTGTATGATTACCACTTGATTATCTACAGTTATGATGGTATGTTGATTTATAATCAAGCGGATCTTATAGATAAGATGGGGATGAAAAAGTTTTGTGACCTTTATTTTCTGAGCTACTGAGCAGAGTTTCACTATGAAATATGCCTATAGGATATTAAAGGATAGCTGGTCAATTCACATAGTTTATGGTGTCTGTTTCCAGTAGATTTAATGGCTAGTATAACAACAACTTGTGAAACTAAAGATGATAGCTAAGAGTTTGAAATATTTTATAAGCACACAGTTTCTGAATATTTTCATAACATTGTTTCAGTACTAGGTGCAGTTAAAACATCTAAAAATGTAAGCTTAAATGAACTGATAGAGGCAGAAAGTAACGTCAGCACGATAAAACTTAGTAAATCACACTAGTGCTAAGTGCTAAACTTGTATTTATATAAAAGTCCAGAAAGAGAGGCAATATAAATTTTAGTGGCTAAAAGTAGAAGATGACACTTGTACAGCAACTAAACTGAGTCACTTCACATCTATAGGTACCAATTTTGCAGTCTCAAACCCATTCCTTTTCTAATGGACCCAAGATCTGTTTACATAACAAGTAGATGGTAGTGAAAGGAATGCGTCTGGGTCAGAGGGTGAGCTGTGTTAGACGTTGTTACGGGAATGGCAACAGAGAGCACCACAGCCATAGGTATTTGTCAAGCAAAGACCCAAGGAAGCCTGGAAGACTGAGAAGTACACAGGTGCTAGGGATATATTTTCTGTGAGCGATATGGGCGTGAACACATGTAAAGTCTGTAGAAATGTTGATTGACCAAGGTAATTGTTTTAGTATTGTATATCTAAAAGTAGTTTTAAAGTAGAATGTTTTAAGCAGTTACAACCCTCTTTACAACCTAATCACTTGGCTGACTTTCTGACAAATTGGAGTCCACCTGCTAATTAAGACCGAAATCTTGACTCTTCTGACTATCTTGTTCTTCAGCTAGCGAGTCGTGTTAATCTTGTTCCAATGAGCAATAAGTGCCCCTTTGATGAATGACTAACAACCTTGAGAAAATGTTACCAGATGGGTGGTCACCTCCATCTCCAGCAGAAACACTACATTCTGGAGCTGCAAAACACCTTCTCGGAGTTAAAAACTGGGATCGGGGTGGTATTTCAGAGGGAAGGGAATCAACCTGCAGCAATGGAGACTCTACTGACCACCACACCACAAATGACTATACAAAACATTTCTTTATTCACAATAAACATAAAATCAACCTTACTAAGTAATAAGTATGCACTTTAATCATTCCATAAAAGGCGGCAATCCTAAACATTCTGCACAAACAGCTATAAAATAAGGTATGCCAAGAAGTATAATCACAAGCCTCAATGACAGATAATATTATTTTGTTTACTACACACTACCATATTATCTATACTTACCTACATAATTACAGGGTTTCTATTTAGAAAACAATTGACTATATATCAGTGTACACTACGAGTTGTAATCCCTATTCAGAAACTAATAGGTTTTATTCCAAAACGTCAAGTGCTTGTACATTTTAATTTACTGGTTTCACTCATAACCCCAATGATAAAGTACAATTTCTTATCCTTCTCATATTATTCATATATATAAGTTAATTGTTCTCATCCACTATTCCTAACAAGAAAATTTGTTAAAACTAAAATGAATCCAGTGTTCAGATATTAACAATTGGACCATTTTATTTTGTACTTTAATAATAATAATAGAGATTAAAGTTGCAAAATATAATTAGGTTTACATAGCCTTCATTAAAGATTTTACTATTTCACAAAATTGAATGTTCTTACCTCTAAATATTTTCATTTTGTAAATTAAAATAGAACTGAAGTACATTTTCCATCACTCTAAGACTCTACCCTTCATATTTTTAAGAATATATGTGATTTCTTTTTCTCAAACATTCATAAGATGAACCATCAGCACACAATGGATCATGAAGTCCAAGTAACCCAGGGGAGGTTTGCAATAGGTGAATGAAATACTTACAGGATGAAATCACAGGCTAATTCAGAGGTGTCCTGTGATTAAGACAAGGAGGTAATTGTTTTTACTACATGAGTAAATTACTTGCCAAGTTACCTTAGTAAGCCCCAGAATCGGTAAGAGCGGTTCCCCCAAATTGAGTTTGTTTCTTTCTGAGAAAATTAAAAACGATAATTGTACAAAATTAAATGTAGCACAAACATGACTCGAAATTCATAGTTTCACAAAACTATAAAAAAATCATGATGAAGTTTGAACCAAGAAGCTACACTGTGCAAATAAAAAAGTGATAACCTAATTTCTTAAACCTCCACCAATCATGTTCTCTATAAATATCCAGGATGATTTATTGCCAAACTACCATGGAAGTATTTTGTGGTCAATATTTTTATTACAACTAGTTGATACAAATAACCAATAAAATACATTACGAAAAGACTCTGGTAAGGGTACCTTTAAAATAAAGTACAAAAAACAGGTTCAGAATTCTGTCCACATCAAAGTGACAAAACTCTATAGACAGAAGAAGTATAATTATGATACAGAAGCATTAAGTATCTTAAGTTAATTTAAGTGATAGATTGTGGCTAGATGAGGCACTACTCAGCCTCATCCATTATTAGACTAAAATAAACTTATTAGGTAGTTAAAAATCCCAAGAGGGTTGATGATTTTTAAGTCATCCAAAGATTAAGAAAAGCAGAAATGTTCAAGGCGTAAATATAGATAAGCTATCGGAAAACAAACGCTGCACTACAACATCCAGTTGGAAATGAAATTTTAACACAACTTTCAAAATGGTACAAGAAAGGTTTAAATGTAAAACAAGAGGGAATTCTCAATATCCGCAGCAATTGAAATTCTTCTGGTAGAATTAGAGTAAATTAATCTATGAGACCTCTTTTTTTCCGTTTTATTAACAATATTTTTGTGCGCCAGCAATACCAAGTGTAGGGCGCTCCTATACCCGATTCAATTTTATTACTCACCAGGATCTCTACCAGCCTACCCTCAAACGCGACCCTGAGAGCATGAGCGCTGGAGTTTTTCGAAGGATCATGAAGGTCCCAGTGCATTCGAGACGCCCTCTTTTTAATATATAAGCCTGGCGAGAAAAACCAGCAGAATTCAGGAGATAGATAATTGATTTAAGCGAACAGTAGGCACCGTAAGTAAAGTGTGTGAATCACTGTGATTTATAGCGTGTGTTATAAAGGTTGTTAAGTAAAGCGACGAGAAAACGTATTGACTGTGGAAATTCTGTTTATTACAAAGTTTTTATCGAGGAAGAATAAACCTTTGTCATAGATTTTGCATCTCAGCAAACCCTTGTGAGTATCAAGGTGCTAGATCACAAAGGAGTACCAGAAACTGTACAGAAGCTCTGTGGTGTGACAGGACATTATACAAGGTTGTGGGGACTAGTGTGGGTAACTATTCAGCTGATGGGCATAAAGGACAGACACAAAGTATACTTGGCTGTCATTGAAGACCAATGCATATTAGGGTTGGACTACTTACTACCGAGGAAGTGTGTAGTTAACTTTGATAAAATGACGTTTAGGAACAACAAAGGCCAAATTCCGGTAAGTGTTGCTGCATCTGTTGATTCGCATGTCACAGAACTTAAGTCAACTACAATGCCAGAGAAGATAATTTGGGGTAGAATAAAAGAACATCCCCAAGGAAGCCCGAAGATTATGGAAGCAGTGGTAGACCCATCCAGGCCAGTGGATGTGAAGATTGGAAAGTCACTTGTGGCAGGTCATCAAGTAGTACCCACAACAGTGGCTAATTTCTCTAAATGTGAGCAGACACTTAAGGAAGGGACATTGTTGGGTCTGTGAAAGGAGGTAGTGCTAGCCAACGTTAAGGCAAGAAATACAATCATAAAGAAAGTACATCCTCTCCCAGAACATTTAACTAAACTCTATAAGAAGAGCATACTCCATTTGTCATCATCACAGGCTCTTCAGGTTAGAGAACTTTTGGCGAATTATGTTGACGTCTTTTCAAAAGGAGATCATGACTTCGGCTACACAGACCTTGTGGAACACAAAATAAACACAGACAATCACTGTCCAATAAAGATCCCTCTGAGGAGAATAGCTCTGGCAAAGTGACAGGAGATGGAGAAGGTCATGGATAGCCTAATTAAAGGAGGGATAGTCGAGAAATCAGATAGTCCTTGGTCAGCTCCCGTCGTGTTAGTCCAGAAGAAGGATGGGGCCCAACGTTGCTGTGTGGACTTCAGGGCTCTAAACAGTATAAGCGAAAAGGACTCATACCCACTG